TGGGACCCAGTGCTGCCAGTGGGACCCAGTGCCACCAGCGGGTCCCAGTGCCATGAATGGGACCCAGCGCTGCCAGTGGGACCCAGTGCCACCAGTGGGTCCCAGTGCCATCAATGGAACCCAGCGCTGCCAGCGGGTCTGGGGGGTGTTAATGGGGCCCAGTGCCACGAGTGGGTCCTGGTGCCATTGATGGGACCAAGTGCTGTCAATGGGACCCAGTGCCGCCAGTGGGACCTGGTGCTGCCCCCCGCAGCCCCTGTCTGTCCCTGCTGCCCACCTCGGATCTGGTAGGCGCCGTCGCTGAAGACGATGCGGAAGACGTCGTAGACGGAGCGGTTGGAGTCGAGCAGGTTGGAGCCGCGGTGGTGGCACACGAAGCCGTGCTCGCCGCGCAGCACCAGCATGGGCCGGTTGATGAGCTTCAGCGTGAACTCCTCGTCGTCCCCTGCGGGCAGCGCGGCCGTGGGAGGCGCCCGCGCGGCCCCAGCCCGTCCCGCGGGGCCCCCACTCACCCACGGCGTCGCTCACGGCCGCCAGCTGCCCGTTCTTCTTGGTGCACACGTACTTGCCGTTGCTGGCGCGCAGGGCCACGCGCCGCCCGCGCCACTCGATCTCGAACATGGTGTTGGCGGCGCTGGCGCCGGGGGCAGAGCGTGAGCGGCGGCGCCAGCGCTGCCCCCGGCCCCCCCGCCCCGGCCCCGCACTCACGCCTCGGTGGCCACGGCCTGGATGCCCCCGTGGGCCACCAGGGTCCAGTAGCTGCCCGCGTTGGTGTGCAGGCTGCACTTGTTGGTGTCGCCGTCGATCTGGAGCTGGAAGGTCTCGTGGTTCAGCTCCTCGTCCTGGTTCGCAGAGACGTTGACGCCTGCGGGAGCGGAGCGGCCATGGGCACCGACCCCGGACCCCCCTCAGCCCCACCGCCCACCCGGGCGGCGCTAAATCCCTGCAAACAATCGCCCTAATTGGGCTCGTTAATCTGATTGTGGCCGTGTCCATCTGGTTAGCGCCGCGCGCACAAAACCCCTATTTATAGCCTGAGAGCTCGCCCGCCACCGTCACCAGCCCTAAGCCGCTTGGGCCGGGGCAGGACGGGCGCCCTTTGGGGCCCGCGGGGACGCGGGGCGGCCGGGGCCACCGCGGGGACGGGCACCCCGCGTGTCCCGCGCCGGCCCCGCGCGGGGCTGCTCGGTGCACACAGTGCCGCACGGAGCCCGCACACGCGTGTGCCCTGCGTGCACACACACACACGCACTTACGTGGTGTTGCACACGCAGAGCCCCGTGCAAAGCCCTGCATACGTGTGCATGCACATGCACTGCATGGAAGCACACGTATCCGTGTGCACACACAGTCCTCTAGAGCACACGTAGGGTTCTCTGTTGCATGCAAGCATGCATGCATATGCAGCCCTGCACAGTCATGTGCAACGCTGCACCAAGCTGTATGCACACACACCCTGCAGAGCCCTGTGCTTGCATGCACCGTGCAGAGCTGCACAGAGCTGCATGCACACAACCGCGCTCAGGTTTATGTGCACACACAGCTATGCATACACACACATGCAGCACTGCACACACAACCAGACATGCATGCGTACAAATGAGCATGCATGTGCACGCACCCATGCACAGTTGCATGTACGCATCCATGCACCCATCCAGCACTGCATAGCTGGATGCACACATGCATGCACACACGCGCATGCACACACATGCATGCACACACAGCAACGCACACACACATGCACATCCCAGCATCGTTGCACCCCTCCCCTGGGCAGGGCCCTGGATACCCCCAGCCCACACCCACGCCAGCTCTGGGGCCCCCATGTCCCCAAGGTGACGGGGCAGCACCCAGGTCACCGTCACGGGGTCCCCTCCCGCACGGGCAGCCCCTACCTTGCCGGATGGAGACGTATCTGCCGTTGGCGGCCGTGAACACCACCTGGGGGTGGCTCTCCTCCAGGTCGAAGAGCTCGTCCTTGCCCGGCTTGGAGCTGCGCCCGGACTTGAGGGTGCCCGTGGGCCCCGTGGGCGCCAGGTACTTGCCATCGCAGTCCTTGAAGGCCAGCTTGCCCGCCTTGAACTCGAGCGTGTAGGCGGTGCGGGCGCCGGGCTCGGGCACGAGGGCGCCGTCGCAGCGCAGGTAGCGCTCGTCGGCCGTGCGCAGGCAGTACTTCTTGTCCTGGAAGCAGAGCGTGATGAGCGCCTCGACGCCCCAGGGCAGGTTGCTGTCGGCGGCCAGCTCGTCCTCGTGCGCGCTGAGGTGCGCGTAGCGGCGGCGGCTCACGCTCAGCAGGTTGGCCTGCGGGTGCATGGCGAGGTGCACGCTCCACAGCTCGCCCTCGGTGACGCTGGGCGCGAAGCACGAGAGCTGGTCCTGGCGGCCGCCGAAGAAGCGCCGGTGCGGCGCTGACTGCAGCGCCCAGCGCCCGTCCGACTGCGTGATGACGCGGAAGCGCTCATCGCGGCCCGGCCGCTCCGCCTCGCAGCGCACCTGCCCGTCCTGGTCCGCGCCCAGGTAGCGGCCCAGGTGGCTCTTGAGGAAGACCACGGAGCCGTCGGCCTCGTCCTGCTCCAGCGTCCAGATCTGCTTGCGCTTGAGGCTGGCGGCCGACGCGTTCACCTTGTAGCCGAAGGCCTCGGCCGTCAGGTAGCGGCTCTCGCAGTTGATGAGCCCGAACTGGATCTTGAGCACCTGGTGGATGCCATTCGTGGGCATCTTGCGGCGCGGGGGCCGCGCGGACGCGGCGCGGGGCTGGCGACGGGGCGCAGCGCCTGCCCGCCGCTGGAAAACTCGCGCGGGAACCCGATCCGGGCGGCGCGGCCGCCGTATCCGTTGCCCGGCCGGGCTTGGGTTACCGGCGCCTCTGATTCGCGCGAGGTCGCCGCCCGCCCGCCCGGGCCCCTAAGCGCCTTAGCAATTAGCCGGGCATTTTGATTAGCTTAAACCCTTTATCCCGCTTTGGGGCCCTCGGTCTCCATCTGTCCCGCGGCCCCAAATCCCTCCGCGGCCGGATCGGGGTCACGGCGACCCCCTGCCCGCCCCGTCCCGCGGCGGCCTGTGGGGGGCTGAGGCTGCCTGCAGCTCATTGCACCGGTGTCCGCCAAGTCGTTGCAGCGGGGAGCGCCGGGGTGCCGGCTCGCGGCGGGATGGGGGGGCTGCCCCCCCGGCCCTTCCCGCGGCGGCTCCGGTGTCCGCCGCACTTATTGTTCCCGAAAATAGGTCCCGGGGATTGGGTGCCTCATGACTATTTCATGGCCGGGCTCTCTCTTACAGCGCGGGGGCCGCCCCCCCGGCGGGCGCGCGTCACCCGAGCCGCCCGCCGCGGAAACGCGCCCGCACGCGGCTCCGCTTCCCGGCTTCCCGGCCGGCGGCACCGGAGCCGCTGGCTGCTCTTATAGCCGCCCGCCCCGGCCCCCCCGCGGCGCCGGGCCCGCGCTCCCGACCGCCCGCACGCGGAGGCGGGATCGGCGCCGCGGCCGCATCCCTGCGTTCCCGCTGCGCCTGGGGGGCCTGGCGCCCGTCGGGGTTAGGGATGGGATAGGGATCGGGATGGGGATGCTGCGGCTGGGAGCAGGAGTGCGGTGAAGGATGGAAATGGGGTCATGATGGGGATTGGGGTGGGGGTGGGATTGGGGCTGGGATTGGGGCGGGAATGGGATTGGGGCTGGGATTGGGGCAGGGGGTGGGATGAGGGCTGGGATCAGGGGTGGGATCTGAGCCAGGATGGGGAGCAGGGCTGGGAGCGGAGCTGGGCACAGGACTGGAATGGGAGCAGGAACAGGACTGGGATGGGAGCAGGAGCAGAATGGGAGCGGGATGGGGATCAGGATGGGAGCAGGACTGGCATAGGAGCAGGACTGAGATCAGGATGGGGACAGGAGCAGGATTGGGATTGGAATGGGAGCAGGATCAGGACCAGGATTGGGATAGGAGCAGGATTGGGATTGGGATGGGAGCAGGATCAGGACCAGGATGGGAGCAGGATCAGGAGCAGGATGGGAGCAGGATCAGGAGCAGGATCGGGATGGGAGCAGGATCAGGACCAGGATGGGAGCAGGATCAGGAGCAGGATCGGGATGGGAGCAGGATCGGGACCGGGGCCGTGCTGGGACCCAGGAGGGGCCCCGGGGTCAGCACTGGGGCCAACAGCAGCGCCTGCTCATCTGGGGCCACCCTCAGTCCCCGTGTCCCCCCCATGTCCCCCCGTCCCCACCACCACCCCGCCGTCGCCATGGCAACGCTGGGGGGGGTACCGCGTGTCGCTCCGGGGCTGCCGTGACTCAGCGCCGGGGCCGCTCCTTCCTCCTCCTCCTCCTCCTCCTCCTCCTCCTCCTCCCGCGCGGCCGCCAGGGTCCCGGGGCAGTTTTGGGCTGAGGCACCGCCGCCACTGGCACCCATTCCTCCTAATACAGGCGGGCGGCGCGGCGGGACGGGATGGGATGGGACGGGATGGGATGGGACCAGACGCGAGGGCTACCTGCGGCGCCCGGGCCCGGCATTGGGGTGCATGGGGACCAGGGCGGCGCTGGGCCCGGGCCCTGGTGTCCGGGCGGCGGTCCCGGTGCCCCCGCGTGTCGATCCGGTCGGGGCACGTGGTGGCCAGGGCGGGACACGGGCGGTGACGCCGCGGTGGCACCGGGGACCGCCCGGGGACCGCCGTGTCCCCCCCACACCGCCCGTGTTCATGCAGGGAGCCCCGTGGGGGCGCGGGGCCACCCGTGGGTGCTCAGTGCAATATTCGGTGCCCGGGGGGTGCACAGGGTGATGTTTGGGTGCAAGGTGCCGCCCAGGGCAGGCCTGGCTCTGCTTGGGGGTGCCCGGTGGGGGGTGAGGCGAGCACGGTGCTGCCCGGGGCGGTTTTAGGTTGCATTAGGTTGCACGGTGCTATTTGGGGGTGCACGGTGCTGCCTGGGGGGTGCATCGTGCTGCACAGTGCTGCTAGGGGGGTGCCCGGTGCAACACGGAGCGGGGGCTGGTGCAATCCTCGAGGTGCCCAGTGATGTCCCTAGGGGTGCCTGGTGCTGCTGGGGGGGTGCCCGGTGACATTTTGGGGTGCACGGTGCAGCCTGGGGGGGGCGGTGCTGCTAGGGGTTGCACACGGCCATCTTTGGGGTGCACGGTGCTGCCCGGACTGCAGGGCGCCGCAGGGGCTGCCCGGTGCCGCTGGGGGTGCCCGGGGTCCCCGGGGGGGGGGGGGGGGCGGTGCGGGCGCTGTGGGACCAGCACCGGCACCGGGACCGACACCGGGACCGGGACCGCCGCCCCCCGCCCCCCCCGCCCCATGCAGGTTCCGGGGTGCCGCGGGGCGGGGGCAGCCCGGCCGGCCGCCCCACGTGGCCGGGTGCGCGCCAGCCAATGGGAGCGCGTGTTTCTGAAAGATCTCCATATATGGCGATGTTCTCGGCCGGCGGGGCGGGGTCACGGCGGCCCCGGTATAAAAGCGCGGCGCTGGCAGGCGCCCGGTCTCACTCCGCCGGCGGCAGCAGAGCAGGCGGCACCGCTCGCCCCGCAGCGCCCGCAGCCTCCTCCTCGCTCTCCGTTGCGCACAGGTACCGGCGCGGCCCGCCCGCCGCGGCGCCCCCCGCCCGCGGGGCCCTGCGGCCGTTAGGGCGTGGCCCGCGCCCCTTCCCGCCGGGGGGGGGGTTGGGTAACGGGGTAACGGGGGGCGGGGGGGGTGCGCTCGTCCCGGCTGCCCCTCGGGCCGCGCTGCGCCCCCCCTCCCCCCGCCGCCGCGATGGTCTCGCCCGCTTGAATGGAAGTGGGGCCGTTACTGGGGGAGGGGGCGCGGGGTGGAGCAGGGCGGGGCGCCATTGGCCGCCCCGGCGGGTGACGTCAGGGCGCGGGAGATTCAAACGGCGGCGCGGGAAAAGGGCGCGGGGGGCGGCGCGGCCGCCGCAGCCCCCCCCGGGACCCGGGCTGGGTCTGGCCCGGTGCCAGCGCGGGCTCCCGGGGCCCGCCGCGCGCGTGACGTGGGCGCAGGGCCGCCCGGGAGCCGCGCGGCTGAGCCAGGGCTCCGTCCGCGCCAGGTCGCCCAAGATGGAAGAAGAAATCGCCGCGCTCGTCATCGACAACGGCTCCGGCATGTGCAAAGCTGGCTTTGCAGGCGATGACGCTCCCCGTGCCGTGTTCCCCTCCATCGTGGGGCGCCCGAGGCACCAGGTAAGCAGGCGGCGCCCCTCGCTGCAGGCGGTGGGCGTGCCGGGGCGGTGCTGGGCGCAGCCACTGACTCACGCCTTGCCTCCTAGGGTGTCATGGTGGGCATGGGGCAGAAGGACAGCTACGTGGGTGATGAGGCCCAGAGCAAGAGAGGCATTCTCACCCTGAAGTACCCCATTGAGCACGGTATTGTCACCAACTGGGATGACATGGAGAAAATCTGGCATCACACTTTCTACAATGAGCTGCGTGTGGCTCCCGAGGAGCACCCTGTTCTGCTCACAGAGGCTCCTCTGAACCCCAAGGCCAACAGAGAGAAGATGACACAGGTACACTCGTGGGGCAGTAGTCATTGCTCACCTTCATCTTCATGAACCCTCTTTTGTTCTGGCATCATAAACCTGAGGTTTCTTTTTTTTTTTTTTTTCTCCCAATATTTCAGGGTTCTCTACTCCTGGCATTTCCTCCTTGACGTCTCAGGTTTCTTTCATTTGTGTTTTCTGCCTGCACTCCTTGCTTTTCTTTCACACATCAGTTTTTGCATGTCGGCATGCGTGTTCTAACACAGGTGTGAGTGACCTGGCTAGTTGCTCCCTGCTGAACAATTTCTCTCTTGCAGATCATGTTCGAGACCTTCAACACCCCGGCCATGTACGTTGCCATTCAGGCTGTGCTGTCCCTGTACGCCTCTGGTCGTACCACTGGTATCGTTATGGACTCTGGTGATGGTGTCACCCACACTGTGCCCATCTACGAGGGCTATGCTCTGCCCCACGCCATCCTGCGCCTGGACTTGGCTGGCCGTGACCTCACCGACTACCTCATGAAGATCCTGACAGAACGAGGCTACAGCTTCACCACGACAGCCGAGAGGGAGATCGTCCGTGACATCAAGGAGAAGCTGTGCTATGTCGCCCTGGACTTCGAGCAGGAGATGGCCACTGCTGCCTCCTCCTCCTCCCTGGAGAAGAGTTACGAGCTGCCCGATGGCCAGGTGATCACCATCGGCAACGAGCGGTTCCGCTGTCCGGAGGCCCTTTTCCAGCCCTCCTTCCTGGGTAGGTTTGGGGCAGCGCAGGGATGTTGCTGCTCGGGGGTGGGAGCTGGGGGGCTCGTGTGGCTCTGTGAGCGCTAACCCGCAGGTGCCTCTTCCCCCAGGCATGGAGTCTTGTGGCATCCACGAGACCACTTTCAACTCCATCATGAAATGTGACGTGGACATCAGGAAGGACCTGTATGCCAACACAGTATTGTCTGGCGGTACCACAATGTACCCTGGAATTGCAGACAGGATGCAGAAGGAAATCACAGCTCTGGCACCTAGCACGATGAAGATCAAGGTAAGAAATGCTCCCTAGTCCCCCTGTGGACAGAGGCCCTGACCCTGGGGTGTGGAGGGAGGTGGCAGGAGAGCCCTGGGCAGCCCTGATGGCTCCTCTTCTCTTGCAGATCATTGCCCCACCTGAGCGTAAATACTCAGTCTGGATCGGTGGCTCCATCCTGGCGTCTCTATCGACCTTCCAGCAGATGTGGATCAGCAAGCAGGAATACGATGAGTCCGGCCCATCCATTGTCCACCGTAAATGCTTCTAAACGGACTGCTGGCGGGTGCCCGGCACCTGCTGCATGGGTTGTTACACTAGTATACGTTTGCCCAGGCAAATCTATACACCTCATGCTAGCCTCATAAAACTGGAATAAGCCTTCTTTCAAAAGAAAACTTGCCCTTGGAAAGTCTGTATCTGATGTTAGACTAATGTCAGCACTGGATTGTTGAGCTGTCACTTGATTTGACCCTGTATTCAAGTTAACTGTTCCCTCCTCGGTGTCCACCCTAGCGCAGTACCCTGTACACATCTGGCCCGGGCCTCGGGCAGGGGCCTCGCTGTGGGGACGTCCTTGCTGAGGTTAACTTGTGCTTGCGGGGAGCCCAGCTTGCTCTACTGCCAGTGACAGTGCTCTGGGAGCGCCATGCTGGGGCATGAGGCAGATCTGTACAGGGTATTTGGAGTCAGACTTCCAGTACATTCATAGTGGAGTATTCCAGATTTCGTGTAGAGGCTGGTAGGAGTCCATCAAGAATTCACTTCTGTTACTTCCGTTCTAGCAAGGTTGGGAAACATATCACATCCAAGCCTTACGAACCAGTATTCATTTTCCTCCCCACCTGTATCCCGGTAAAACATCTTGGGGCTGAAGTTACTCAACTTGAGTTGCAGCAACTTTGCATTTACACCTGTAAATTTATGCATCAAGTTTAATTTATGTAAGATTTTTTGTACGTTGCCTTAATGTTCTCACATGACAGTAGGAAACCAAAACTTGTAAGTCATCCTGAAGTTGAGAAATTGTAATGCCCAACAACACCTCATTGTGTAAGGAAAATAAAAAAGCGCTGCAGTAAAGGTCACCCTGGTGTCCGTGTGTGTGTCCTGAGGAAGTGGCTGGGAATGGGGACCAGGATGCGGGAAGGAGCTGCCTTCCCTGCATCATCCTGCCCTGGGCCATGGCTGGGATCAGAGCTTCCTGCTCCCCTTTCCGGGGAAGCTGCCTGGTAATTCTCGCACTTCAAAGCCTGCTTGGTTTTAAAAATAGCAGTTCCTGGGTCAGGGACTGGGATAGCCCTTGTGCTGGGCTGCCTGATGCCCTGATCCCAGCTCTTCCTGGCAGCCTGATGCCCTGATCCAGGGTCTCCTGGGCTCTTCCCAAGCCCTGGGCGCAGTTCCTCTGTGCCTGGGTGCAGCTGCAGGAAGCTGCATGGGGGCTTTTCCCGAGGCAGCGCTCCCTCCTGGAGACGGACCCCCCGGTGTCGGATGGGCCCCCCTGGTTCCCGGGACCCTTTGGGCCGTGCCCTGCAGCACCGTGGCACGGAGCACCCGGCAGCCCCTCGTCCCGTGGGACAAACAGCCCTGGTCGAGGCCTTGGGGCAGCCCCGCGGGCCCGGCGCCCTGGTCCCTGCAGGAAGGAGGCTCTGCAGCCGCGGCCCCAAGGCCACCCTGGTGACCGAGGGCAATGGGGGTGCAGGGGGACGTGGGGGGTCACCTGCGCCCTGGCCATGGGCCCGGTGTCCCCATGGCCCCGCTGCGGAGGGAGGGGGGCAGTGTGGGGTGCTCCGCGTGCAGCCCTGAGAGGGGACCCCCCCTCCAGCCCCCAGTCCAGCTGCTGCTCCCCGCAGCCCTCCAGCTGTCCCTCCATGTGTCCGCACTGCCGGCCAGCAACGTGCCCGTGTCCCTGTGTCTGTCCCTATATCCCTGCGTCCCCGCGTCCCTGTGTCCCCGTGTCCCTGTGTCCCCGAATCCATCCCTGTGTCCCTATAACTGTCCCTATATCCCTGCGTCCCTGCATCCCCGCGTCCCTGTGTCCCCATGTCCCTGTGACTGTCCCTGTGTCCCTGGATCCATCCCTGTGTCCCTGTGTCCCTGTGTCCCTGTGTCCCTGAATCCATCCCTGTGTCCCTGTGTCCCTGCATCCCCACGTCCCCGTGTCCCTGTGTCCGTCCCTGTGTCCCTGAATCCATCCCCGTGTCCCCGTGTCCCTGTGTC